ACACAACTATACAATAAAATAAAGCAGAGCTCCATCCAAAAGGGGAAGCTCCACTTGTCCACCTCCTATCCCTTTCCAACTCCTATCCCCTTTAGGGGGGAGCTGGTACCTGGTTTTGACAGGTACCTGCTCCCACTTCTGGCTCAGTTCGCCGCAAGTTCGGCCCCCCTCCTTCCCTCTGCAGTCTTGTGGGACATTTCACTAATCTCATGGCGCAGTGCGATTTGCGCATGCGCAGTAGAAAACTGGTATTAGGAAAACCGGCAGTGTCAGTTCTGGATTCCCATACTTGCAATGCCAGCGCTGGGAACCCGGAGGTTAGTGAAGAACTAGCCCGGGTGACAACAGTGCTGGACCCCTGGACAGGTAAGTGCCCTTATATTAAATGTCAGCAGCTACAGTATTTGTAGCTGCTGACTTTTACTTTTTTTGGGGGGGGAGCCTGGAAATCCTCTTTAATATTTCTTTATTTATAAAAAAAAAAAAATACATGTGGAAGCATTAAAATAGAATATAGTCTTCTACATCCAATCCCTACTGGAGGATCATGGGAGTTGTAATTCATAAAACAGCTGGAAAATTTCACACTGACCTCTGATAATCCTTGTCTATAAAAGCAGAGCCGGGACTATTTTTATATGGTGTTTTAGTCTTAACACTCCGCCCAGAATAGTAGAACAAGGAGCTCCGAGATCACACTTGGAAGTTCTCGTTGAATTTTGTAAGTTAGGTTGGACTAGGACAACTAGGACAGAGGCTCAAACACTAGGAGGGTACACGTGGTCCTCTCCTCTTCATACAACCATTGCGGTGGAATGGGGTGTTTTGGTTTTTTTTGGGTTTTCTAGTTGTAGTTATGCATGATCCTTATGTAGCACTCAGGGGCGGACTGATAACTCATGGGGCCCCGGGCAATACGGGATCATGGGGCCCCTGTGCCCTTGCCCAAACTCAAAAATGCCTATGAAAAAGGTACCTGGGACATCTCATGGGGCCCCTTACTGACCCCGGGCCCTTGGGCAGTGCCCGAGTTTCCAAATGGTCAGCCCGCCCCTGGTAGCACTTATCTTTGAAGGCGTTGCTGATGGATGGGTCCTCTGATCCCAGATAACAACGACTCTTCTGGCAATGCTACACTCTCTGACACACCAAGGCTAAAAAAAAAAAGTTTCATTTCGCAGAGTACTCCACCACAACCAATGAGAGGACCCCTTAAAGAGTTTTTTGTACCTGAACACTGAATCAAGGGGGCCCCGTGCCTGGGTTTCTTGCCCTTTTTCCTCCTCCTGCAGCTCTCTGTCCTCCTTGAACTTGTAGTCCCATCTAGTCCTTGGCTTGATAGATAACTGTCTCATGGGGACTACATACCCCATAGTTCCAGGCAGCTCCCAGCAGTCTCTTTTCTCTCCCAGGCTGCACAGCAGACAATCACAATGTGTTCCTGCCCACTGTGGCTTCATAACAGCCCCAGCAAAATGTCCTGGAACTGCCTCTGTCTCATTCTTCTCCTCCAGCTTAGGCTGCTTTCACACTGGTGCATTTTTGTTGCATTTTTACCATGCTAAAAATGCAACAAAATCACTATAAAAATTATTTCCCTTTAAATCCAATGAGACTCTCTGCAGTACTGCTTTAAAGACAGGAGGGTTCAGGGGAGTAACTAAGAGGTGCAGAAGAAAGGTCACACCCCTGAATAGTCGGCCGAACCCTCACTTATAGGGGATGCAAGCTCATTCTGAATATTCCTGCTTTGAGTTGAGCTTCAAAAAGAGAAGGCTTGAGGGGAGGAGCTAAGGGCTGCAAAAGGAAGGTCCCCACCAACGCGTCGGCTGAACCCTTACTTATAGGAGATGCAAGCTCATACCGAATATTCCTGCCTGGAGGTGAGCTTTAATGACAGGATGCTTAAGGGGAGGAGCTAAGAACTGCAGAAGGAAGGTCACGCCCCCGAAGAGATATCTGAATCCTTACTTATAGGAGATGCAAGCTGATACAGAATATTCCTGCCTGGAGTTGAGCTTTAAAGACAGGAGCGTTCAGGGGAGGAGCTAAAGCTGCAAAAGGAAGGTCACACCCCAGAAGAGCCATCTGAATCCTTACTTATAGAAGATGCAAGCTGATACAGAATATTCCTGACAGGAGTTGAGCTTTAAAGACAGGAGGGTACAGGGGCAAAGCTAAGAGGTGCAGAAGAAAGGTCACACCCCTGAATAGTCAGCCGAACCCTCACTTATAGGGGATGCAAGCTCATTCTGAATATTCCTGCCTTGAGTTGAGCTTTAAAGAGAGAAGTCTTGAGGGGAGGAGCTAAGGGCTGCAAAAGGAAGGTCACACCCCCAAGGAGTCGGCTGAACCCTTACTTATAGGAGATGCAAGCTCATACTGAATATTCCTGCAGTACAGGGACTGTGAGGCTTTAGAAGAATGATTTGTAGTATCGGACATGATTGTATATTTCTAATAATTTCCTAACCTGGCCACACACTTTTCAGCATTATTGTACAATCTCAGTACCGCCTTCTTCGTATTTACCAACACATATATATTTTGTAGGACAATGAAGTAATGCATCCAATTTGTATCTAGTCATGTCATCATTGGTACATCTAAAACTGGTCATACACTTTACAATCTGATCGTACAATCTCTGCACACTTTCCTTTCTCAAGGATCTACTCCTGTGATTTTCACTGAAGCTGGCCTATTTTTTTTTTTTTCATATGCACAGTTTGGATTGCCCGATGTATGGACAGGTTTAATTGAAAGCAGAATTCTGGGATTTCTTTTTTTTTTTGGCCCATGGAGTGGGGCTGTTCTAGGGGAGAGGACACCGAAGATAAACTCATCTGACTGCTGAACCTACCTGCACAAGACCAGTCCTTTCCCCTCCTGCCCCCCCCCCCCCCCCACAGTCCAGCCGTCTTGTAAATGGACTGTTCCTGACATCAGCATGCTCCACAGACAGGAGCAGTCCACCACTGGATCAAGGGGGAGAGCGGTTTTCCATAGGATCGGCGGGTCAGGAGAGTATGAACTTTTTTCCTTACCCCCTAGAAAAAACAAGCAGCCGATCCATGCAGTGGTGAAAAAAGAAATTTCTGACCCGAGTTCTGTTTCAAATAAAATAGTTAAATTACAGTCATCCTATAGACCTTCTGTATGAAATAATGACAAATATTTCCAGCCAGCTGCAACTTGTCCATTCATCATGTACACCTCACTTCACTGCCTACAGGCCTCCCTTCGTAAAATCAACCCTCTAACCCTATAAACTAAACATCATCAAAAATGATAGATTTAATAACAAGTAGATTTTCCATCAAGCAATCAGCTGCAAGTAGTGTAGTCAGATGGATTTAATCTGCTTATATTTGGCCTTCTCGAGTTCCTCCCTCCTCCCAGTGGTTTTTTTAAATGTGTGCTGCCCTAGGCAACGCCAAAATTGCCCCCCCCCCCCCCATACCCTCCCTACCCCCAGTGGTGTATTTAAGTTTTGTGCTGCCCTAGGCAACGCCAAAATTGCTCCCCCTCTCACACCCTCCCTACCCCGCCCTGACACCAATCAACCCCATCCCCTGTAGAGAGAGCCTATCATTGGCCAAACTGCCCTCTGCCCCCCCATCCAGGAGAGCTTTCCACTACCAACTGCCCCCCCCCCTACACTGGACCCCTCCTGTCAAGAGAGGCAAGACACTCACCTTCACCTTCTCATCCCCGGGAATGAGAGTCGGGCTCTGCATACACCATCAAGCAGCCCACAGCATCTCTCAGATCCCACCTGGTCCCCATGCCGCATGCAGGGGCAGACTGATCATTTGGAAACTCGGGCACTGCCCGAGGGCCCGGGGTCAGTAGGGGGCCCCATGAGATGCCCCTGGTACCTTTTTCATAGGCTTTTTTGAGTATGGGCAAGGACACAGGGGCCCATGATCCCCTATTGCCCGGGGCCCCTGAGTTGTCAGTCTGCCCCTGGCCGCATGTGTCTCTTCTTCCTTCCTTTCTTCCAGGGGGCGGTGCTGCCCCCTGAAAAATTCTGCCCTAGGCAAATGCCTTGTTTGCCTCGTGGTAAATACACCCCTGCCTCCCCCCTCATCAACATGCTAAAAAAAATTACTATATAAAACCTTTCCGTTTTTATTAGATACTTATTTTAAACCAAGTGAAACTATCACTGGGTCCCTGTGCATCTCTGTGCGATGCAGGCAGATCATGGCTAGTGGACAGTGCTGTACATAGCTTCCTGAAAACATCACAGCACCCTGCCTCAGTACTACTCTCAAGAGCCTTCAGTCCTGATGCAAGCATTGGGCAGGCTCTTGTAAATATTAAAATGTCTTGATGGGTGGATGTCAATCTGGAGGAGTGGGCATTCCTAGGCAGGCTCTATTTGCATGCCCGAGTGCCCACATTTGATGCTGATACTCCTTAGTTGAAAAAACTGAAATTCAGTCAATGAAAGGGGTGGGTCAGAAACAATCAGGCTGACTTCATGCACAGATGTCTATGCCAGTCGCACCCCAAATCATAGTAGTGTAGGAACTACTTTTCTAAACAATGCGACTCTGACAAAGTTGGATTTGCATCAATCAGGACGGTTCAGTTGCCAATCGTTGCATGCGATTTGTCATGTGATTTGAATGGTCAAATGACATGGCAATCCGCATCAGTGTGAACCAGGGCTTAGTATCTATAAATGTATTAAGTTGTCATATTATCAGTAAGAAGAGATACACAAAGAAAAAGCTACTGAATGTCCAGCACCTTAGCGATCCAGCAACCAAACTGATTAATTTGAGTGCCCATCAGGGGCGGACTGACCATTTGGAAACTCGGGCACTGCCCGAGGGCCCGGGGTCAGTAGGGGGCCCCATGAGATGCCCCTGGTACCTTTTTCATAGGCTTTTTTGAGTTTGGGCAAGGACACAGGGGCCCCATGATCCCCTATTGCCCGGGGGCCCCATGAGTTGTCAGTCTGCCCCTGGTCCCCATACAAAAGCCAGAATGTTCCCAGCTACTGTATGTTCATAGTGAAAGCCGTTGTAGAATACCAATATGTATCAGTTAGTCCTCACACGGGATGGTTTTACAGCTGTTGTTTGTGGCTTTTGGTGTTTTTTTTTTCTAGAGCCAGTAAACTCCCCAGCATGTTATCCTAGGTGTCCATGCACACATAAGCTTTAGGGCCAGTTCACACCAGGGGCGGACTGACACTCATGGGGCCCCCGGGCAATAGGGGATCATGGGGCCCCTGTGTCCTTGCCCAAACTCAAAAAAGCCTATGAAAAAGGTACCAGGGGCATCTCATGGGGCCCCCTTCTGACCCCGGGCCCTCGGGCAGTTTCCAGATGTTTCCAGAGTTTCCAAATGGTCAGTCCGCCCCTGGTTCACACTACATGCGTTTTAGTTGCTTTTTTTCTGCATCCAAAACGCACAGAAAGTAAGTTATATGGTTGTCAATGTCATCGTTCACATAGGTGAACAGTGGGCAGCAGAGTGGCTAAATGGTTAGCAATTCCGCCTGGCAGTACTAGGGTTGTTGGTTTGAATCCCAGCCACTGCCTGGAGTTTGCATGTTCTCCCTGTGCCTGCGTGGGTTTGCTCCAGGTACTCCAGTTTCCTCCCACACTCCAAAGACATGTTGGTAGGTGAATTGGCTCCTGTCTAAATTGTCCCTAGTATGTGTATGTATGAATGTGAGTTAGGGACCTTAGATTGTACACCCCTTGAGGGTTAGGGACTGATGTGAATGTACAATATATATGTAAAGTGCTGCATTGACAGCGCTATATAAGTACCTGAAATAAATAAATAAATCAGAGGCTTGCAGTTGCAGTGTGTTCCGGATGCAGAAAAAAAAGTAGAACATGCTGCATTTTTTTCTGCACAGAACTGTACTGGAACGTGGTAAAGTGCATCAAACATACCAAAAACGCACTGGAATGAACATGTCCCTAATTAAATTGAATAAACAGAGAGGTAGTAAAATGAACTGGAATGTATAAAAAACACATGCATTAAAAAAACACACTGGAACGTGTCAAAAACGCACCAGCAAGTGCCAAAAATGCGTCAAAAGTGTGCATGCAAAAACACATCCGGACTGCATCTGGACTGCATTTCTATCATGTGAACCGGCCCATAATCAGCGTTTTCTGGTAGGGGTGCTTTTTGGCTGGAAAAAACCCTCCAGAATTAGTGGATTTCTAGAGGAGTTTTTTTAGCTGTAAAAATGCTCTAACGCTGGAAATGCGGAAAAACACGGCAAACTAGCGTTTTTGTGTGTTTTTTTGAGCAAAAATTTTATTTTTTTGTGTAAAAAACACTAAAAACACAAACATGCAAAAATATGGCTAAATGCTAACGCAAAAATGCTAAAAATGTGGAAAAACTTGCATTTTTAACATAACTTTATACAGCTAATGCTACTGGCGTTTTTAAACCTCCCAGGGTGCATGAGGACCAGGGGCGGACTGACCATTTGGAAACTCGGGCACTGCCCGAGGGCCCCTGAGTCAGTAGGGGCCCCATGAGATGCCCTGGTACCTTCTCCATAGGCTTTTTTGAGTTTGGGCAAGGACACGGGGGCCCTATGATCCCCTATTGCCCGGGGGCCCCATGAGTTGTCAGTCCGCCCCTGATGAGGACTTAATGTATTTATTTGTTATATTTTTTGTTATATATATATAAAAATCTTTTGGTTTTCCAGCAGTTTAGCCCTTTGAGGACCAAGGGACGTATTTGTCCCATGTTTTTAATTGCGTGTATCATCTGATTAAGAACTTAAAACTCTTCTTTTTTTTTTTTGGTTTGAGTCAAAATATTAGTTCTTATCAACAAACAACAAATGGATCTAGCTTTTTGCCAATTATTTCATGAAATGGATTAGTTACAGCAACTGAAGTGTATGTACTTTAAAAACAAAACAATTGATTCTTTTGGCGTTCCAAAATCTTACGGTCCTCAAAGGGTTAAAGACCCAGCAATCAAATGGAATAGCTGCAATCCTGCAAAAGCTAGATAGCAACAGGCTATATTTATAGTGAAAGGAATTGCAGAATATTAAATATTTATCAATAAATGTCTTTATTTGTTATATTACCAGAAGGAAGTGACACACAATGAAATAACACCATTTTACCTGTTATTTTGAAATTCCTGAATTTAGAAATTCTTGAATTAGAAATTCCGAATTTTCCAATTTCCAATTAGAATTTCCTAAATTTCCAATTTCTAATTTCCAAATTAGAATTTTTCCTGAATTTCCATTTAGAATTTCCTGAATTTCCAATTTCTAATTTCCAATTAGAATTTTTGGAATTTCCAATTTCTAATTTCCATTTAGAATTTCCTGAATTCCCAGCAGCTTAGAGAGCCAGGAATCAAGTCTATAACGAAAGCAGATGTAGAATGTCAATATGTATCAATAAATAAATGTCACCAATGCAAATCTGAAAGGGTAAACTTATGAACCTTTCAATAAATATACAGATAAATGTAACCAGTGCCTTTGCCAAAACCCAGATTGATAATTGATCGAGTTAGCATTGCATCATCCAGGGTCATCATCTACTTTCTGAACTGAAATGCATAGCATCCAACACTGAGCCCCGAAGCAAGTGGAGATCACTGGAGCAGTGGATTCTATATTAGTAATTTCCAGCTTCCAGGGGCATTGGCCAGGTTTACAGTCCTGGCCAAAAATATTGGCACCCCTGTATTTGTGTCAGATAATGCTGGCCAAAAATATTCCCTCTCCCCATTTCTGTCAGATAATGCACCACTTTGCCCAGTAAATTGTTCCAATTACAAATGTTTTGGCATTCTCATGTTTATTTCTTTTGTTTGTATTGGTATGACACAAAAAAGTGGAGAATCAAAACGCCAAATCTGACACATTCCAAAAATGGACTGGACAAAATCATTGGCACCCTCAATTTAATATTTGGTAGCACACCCCTTGGAAAAAATAACTGAAATCAATGTCTTCCTGTAACCATCAATGAGTTTCTTCCACCTCTCTACTGGAATTTTGGAGCACTCTTCTTTCTCCAACTGTTCCAGGTCTCAGATTGGAAGGGTTCCTTTTCCCAACTGCTGTTTTGAGATCTCTCCACAGGAGCTCTATGGGATTGAGATCTGGACTCATTGCTGGCCACTTCAGTCCTCTCCAGTGCTTTGTCTGAAACCATTTCTGGGGGCTTTTTGACGTGTGTTTTGGGTCATTGTCCTACTGTAAGACCCATGACCTCTGATGGAGACCCAACTTTCTGACACTGGACCCTACATTGGCCCCCAGAATTCTTTGGTAGTCTTCAGATTTCATAATGCCATGCACATGGTCAAGACATCCAGTGCCTGAAGCAGCAAAGCAACCCCAAAACGTCAGTGACCCCCCCAACATGTGTGACAGTAAGGACTGGATTCTTTTCTTTAAAGGCCACATTGACACACAACAGAAAGGATGAGTCAATTTCTCACCATTTTACCTGTTATTTCTATGTTGTCAGCACCTGTTCATTGATGCAGGTGAGTTTATTTACAAATTACAGGAGAATCACAAACTTAGAAGCAATTGTTTCTTACAATTTTGAGAAAGTGCCAATAATTTTGTCCAGTGCATTTTTTGGGGTTTGGGGTGGAATGTGTCAGATTTGGTTTTTTGTTTCTCCACTTTTTTGTGTCATACCAATACAAACCAAAGAAATAAACATGAGAACGCCGAAACGTTTGTAATTGCAACACTTTTCTGGGCGAGGTGGTGCATTATCTGACAGAAATGCAGGGGTGCCAACATTTTTGGCCATGACTGTAGTTACATTACCAAGCTAGATCAATGTCTACATCACAGTGCACTTCCCTTACCTTGTGCTACTGCCAGGAAGAAGATGGGGATGGAACTGGGAAGCAGAAAGTGTAGGGCCTGGAGGAGGACCAGTGGAGGGCTGGAGCAGGGGCAGACTGACTATTTGGAAACTTGGGCACTGCCCGAGGGCCCGGGGTCAGTAGGGGGCCCCATGAGATGCCCCTGGTACCTTTTTCATAGACTTTTTTGAGTTTGGGCAAGGACACAGGGGCCCCATGATCCCTTATTGCCTGGGGGCCCCATGAGGTGTCAGTCCGCCCGCCCCTGGGCTGGAGTCTGCAGAATGCTGAGACCAGGGGAGGTGGAGACAAGGGGAGAAGTTCTGTCCTCCTCTCTGCTGCTGACTGCTGAGATGGGGAGGAAGGGGCAGAGACGAGCCTCTCCATGGCTACACAGAAAAGCGCAGGACCTGGTGGAGGAGTTCTGTCCTCCTCTCCTCTCTGAGACAAGGTGAGGGTGGAGACGAAGGGGGTGTCCAGCAGCTGCAGGAGAGGTGCAAGGGCTGCTGATATCACATCCAAGATGGTGGCGTCCAGCCACCGTCTCGGGGCTTTTGGGAAGCATTTACAGGTTACTACCATACATAAAATGTACTGGAAAGATCTCCAGGAAGGAAAATTTTCAAGAGAGAAAAAAAAAGAATGATTTCAAATCTACTGAAAAATAGATTTTTGGTTTATACACAAATTAAGGACTACTAAAAGTAGAGGGGTCCCCTTTTCCAATTCAGTTCATCAGCAATCCATGAACATCAAACTTGCTAAAAGGATCTCAGAGCTGACTTTACCCAATTTGGCCATCAAGGCAGCGCCCTTCCAGCACAGCTTTCCCATTAGTCCAACCCCACTACATCAGCGCCCAGGCTGAGCCCAAATAATCTTGGGGCCTTCAGACTCATAGTGGCTTGGACCTCACCCCGGCTGTCTGCAAGGCCAAGATCTGACAAATGTTGTGGCCAAACCTATGAGCCATTTGGAGCATGCATGATAGGTCAGCAGATATCAACCGGCTAAATAAAAAAATGATGGTGTCACCCTGAAGTCCAGCGGGTGTGTTTTGCTGTGTGATCTTATGTCATGAAGTCATGTCTTCCTGTGACATCAGCGGGTGGGGAGCTGACAATGGAGCCAGTGTACGATGTTCTCATGAAGTC